AATAAACCCCTAAAACTTCATCTCTGTGTATCAAAGTTACAGCTTTAGACTTTTTTTTTCAATTAAAATAATCATTTCCAGCCTTAAAGTGGCTCAGATGTGACTCTGTACATTTACCTCCTTTCGAATAATCAGATCCAACCTGCTCGTTGCAGCTCAAGCACACCAGCTCACCTACAACAGCTCAAACTCTAAAGCTACTCTACGCCACAGAATGGCAAGTTGGACTACTGAAGTAATTCAGTAATGAACGTTTGAACTGGAAACCGACACTAAAGAATAATAATGATATAGAAAGTTCCCATCTGGTTTCTTAGATTTATTGCTTATGAACCGCTGGACGTCTGAATCAGTGTTTCTGAGGCCAATTCAAAGATGGAAAAAGCTCATATGTGGCTTTTACTGCTCATTATGCCCAATTATGTTTCATCTGTCATATAAAGAACACCACGTGGACGCGCTAACGAGGTTAAAAACATCTTTGTTTTCCATCAGAGGTCTTTAACTTTTGGTTTTTCAAAATTTGGGAGCAATTGTCGGTTTACAGATTATTAGAGTTTTTAAAGACGCTGTAGAAATGAGACCTTTGCACCTGTACTGTACCGTGGAGAGCGCTCGTGTGCTCCCAGCTCTCTTTATCCCAATATCTAAACCTCTAATGGCCTTTAAAGCCGTCTCTGTATCACGTTTCCGGCATGTCACGCTCCAACGTAAAGCAACATATGGAAATTTATAATGCTGTAAAGTGTCTAATAGTTGAGGAATTCAGCTCCTTGGAGATTTGAATCCCTACCGCTGCTGCTGCCGGAGACGGTTTTCAAAGCTGCAACAACACGCAGAGATATTTTCCACTTCAGGCAGGGAATGCAGAGCTGAGATATTTCTCAACCTTTACAGCGAGGATCCAAACACACGCTTGTAGTTAGCTGCTAAATGTGGCATTTATCTAAATGATCGTCTTCTCTCAGGTCCTGTTGACAGTCGAGACCGACACGGAGGAGGCCTCGGAGGGGGAGGAGGAGCCGGGAGACGGCGGCCCGGTCCCCCATGTGCAGTACTCAGGTGGACCTCTGAGGCCGAGCTGGGTGGTGGTCTGAGCCCAGGTGACCTCGCACTCCTCCATCCACGCTGTCAGCACACAAAACACTCCTAAATACAAAAAAACAACCCTGCATCCTTATCCCCTCAGTATTAAAGGTCTAAATATCAGCTTCTCTGCAAGCAAAGGCACAACTAAAGGTCATAAAACCTGCCAATGTGAACACTACAGCCTCAGCTGCCTTCTTCTGCATCGAAGGTTCGAATATTTACGAGTAGAGCTCGACTCCGTGTATGCATGCACATCAAATAGCATTTTGGGAATCCGAAGGTCTTTAACTCGTCACCTTGTTGCCTCCGTTTGAACATCAGAGTAACCACAAGCGAACAAACGTATGGAGGGAGATCTTTACGGAGCACAGCGCCTGCAGGGCCAAATCTACGGGTGGTAGCGACAGAAATGTAATAAATCCGTCTTTACTCCAAACTGGGGACTTTTGGGAATGATGTAGCTCTTAAAAAAAAAAAAAAGAGCCATTTATCGTGTATCATATTCCAAAGAGGAGCGAGACAGTAAAAGTATACGCTATATAAAGCATATAAGTGCTCCGTCAAATATAATCACAGCGAAGCCACCTTTTTAATTAAGGTGAAATTATAGTCATTCCTGCACGTTCTCCCTCCGACACTTTAAGTTGGAGGGATGATCGGCGTGTTTTTGTTTTTTAAACCGCACCCATATTGATGTTTTGGCTGCTGCAGTCTGGACAGACGAAGCTAATGCAGCTAAAAAGATTAAAAAGATGCAGCTCTGTGCAGGAGGCTGCATTTAAAGAAGCGCCTCATGTCGCGGTTGAGGAGAACCGGGCCACACTATGTTTCTGAAAGGACGGCGTACAGTATTAGAGCCTCTGTAGGGGAGAAAAACAGAGTTTTAGGAGCAATGTTGGAAGATTTTGAGGATTAAGTCCCAATTTTACAGGACAGTGAAGTTGTCATTTATTAAAATCGGGAAATTTTTTAGAAAATAAAGTCCAAGACGACAAATGAGGATGTGCTTTAGTGATTTTTTGGACGCACACGTTGGCTTTTCGGGCAAGAAAAGATTATTATCATAGCTACAACCAATCGGACAGCTAGTTAGCTTAGCTTAGCAATTTTGCAGAACAATGAAGGTATCAGTATTTTCAGAAAATAAAGTTTAATGCATGTGCTCGGCTAATTTTTCGAAATATACTTTCGCTTTTTTTGGCAAGAAATCTAAAACGCTAATACCACTTTTGTACGGTAAAGCTAAGGTGAGCAGCCAGTTAGCTTAGCTTAGCAATTTTGCAGAACAGTTAGGGTATCAGTATTTTCAGAAAGTAAGGTTTAATGCGTGTACTTGGCTAATTTTTCAAAATATACTTTAGCTTTTTTGGCAAGAAAGCAAAAACATTAATACCACTTCTGTACGGTAAAGCTAAGGTGAGCAGCCAGTTAGCTTAGCTTAGCATTAAAGTGAAACCTAGACTTGCAGGAAGTGCAATAAAATATATTCTCAGCACTGCTAAAGATTCAGACGTAAAAACCACGTGGGTTTCTTGGGATATTCTTTTTCTTAAAATATTTTTTTATTTTTTCCTCAAGTTTGGAGTTTCTCATTTAAAAATACACGCAAAGATGTCTGAAAATACACCCAGGAAATGGAAAAAAAATCAGAATTTCTCAACAATATGACTTCTTTTCACCAACAAATCTGTTCTCAGAACTGTTTTTCTCCTGAGAGAGGCCCTGATGCTGCGCTGTGGTCCGTCAGAAGATACCGTAGCCGTGCAAATTATGGCACATTCCTTTTATTTATTCTGTTTTATATATATATATTTGACTTTATATATTGTGGTCCAATCTGTGGTACATGTGTTGGAATAGATGGTTTAGTGAGTAAAGTCTGAGAGTTTTGAGAGTGTTTGTTTTGTTTAGCTGCCAAACTCCAGGCGGTGAATCAGTTGTGAAGCGAAGCAGGTGATTTGTGTTACTTTATACTCAGCCCTTCAGACATTCCATTTACCTGCTTTGAGGTTATGATTTAAAGGTCTACACTTGGACATACTCCGTCTGTAATGTTTTATTTTGTATTTCAGTGTATCTTGTGTATTTTTTATTTTTTAATAAACGGGGCGTTAAACAAACAAACAAACAAAAAAACAACTGCCACGGTGCTTCTTACCGAATGTATCTCTTCAATCTGTGCTACGAATAAAGATGATTGACACATGAAGCTGTGTCTGGTTGTTGAATTCCTGCGGCGGCCGGGGCACGGCAGCGCGATGACAGGCCACCTGAGCGCTACCTGGCCGCGGCACACCTGTGTGGGCGTGGCCTGCAGCCCTGTGACCTCCACCTGATGACAGGGGGTTGTGTAGGTGTGTGTGTGTGTGTCAGGTGTGCGTCTTGTCATTGGCTCTGGGACAAGGGGGTTAGTTACAGGGGTTGGTCACCGTGGCAACCAGGTGTGACCCGTGTACGATAGGTGTGAGAAAAACACTCACCTGAAATAAGGTGAGAAGTTTTTTTTTTCAGTCTCAGGAAGCAGCCTGGGTTTAAAATGTTTTATTTACAATTACAAAATGACTGTAAAAAATACCAGATCACATCATAAACACATTTAATTTTCATTAGAAATAGTAAAAAAATATATTCAAGAGGGGCCCGCAGGTGGAAAGACGCTTGAAGACTCGTCGTGCTGTGAACTAATAAGTCTATGGAGGTGTGCTAATTATTTATACCGGGCAAAAGGAGTTAATGGTTAAAGCCTCAGAGTTCGTGGTTCACGCCCGGTTGGTCCCGTGCGGCCAGTCTCCCGTGTCGAACATGTGCGACATCAAGTAGTCCTCGTACTGTCCGTCTATCAGCTTGGCGGCGTTGTTGCGGGCGAACCAGCAGTCCACGCTCTGCGTCCCGCTGTAGATCCTCCGGCTCTTCTTCACCACCGGCACCGAGCGGTCCTTCACCTTCAGGACCTGCGACGGCTTCACGTCTCCTCCGTCTGCGGGCAGCTCCGCCAGGCCCACCTCCTCGTACAGGAACTGGCCTGAGAGGTAAAACGGGGTTCAAGTTGTTTTAGTGTCAGATTTCTACTGATGGAAGTCTTTCATTTCCTCCTGATGTGTGGTTTGAAAACCACTGTGAGCATTTTGTTCTCACTAAAATGTGAAAATTCTGCTTTTCAGGTGGAGACGAGAATGTTTTTTTGGGGTAAGTAAATCCTCATCAGGGCAAATTTACTAAACTTTCTTTTGTCATTAACGTGCAATTAGACCTAAGAATCTTTTCAGTATTTATTCACCTCTAACTTGACATTATTCCAACAGCATTACACTGTTTTGGTGCATCTGGAGCCTCTTGATACAGATTTTATTATTGACGAACCACCTTTCACACCAAATCTTCAATTCTTTACACTTCATACGACACAATTTTGAGAATAAGCTGCTCATTCCTGCACACTTTAAATATTTCTTTTAC